CCCCGGAGCGAGTGGCTCCCAGGTCCAGGCTCGCACCCCAAGTAGGCCACTCAAGTCCTTCCCCCCAGGAGACCGCGGGCCTGTCTCTGCTGCTGCTGGCCTTGGCTCCCGTTGCAAGGGGCAGGGACAGCAGCGTCAGGGATGGAATTCCGAGGAACAAAAAGAGCACCACCGCCCTCACTGTGGGCATGCCTCGGGGCGGGAGGGCGGGCGTGTGCATGCACCTGCACCAGGTGGGTATTTTGTAACTCATCCCTTGTGCACAGCCCATACGCAGAAAATGTACTTCTTGTGAAGAGGCCATCTATACGCACTGGGCTCGGGGCTTGCAAAGGTGTCACGGAAAGGGGTGGCACACATAACCCTGCCGGACCTTATGCAGTTCCGCAGGGCCTGCAAGACGGAGCTCTTCCGCCAGGCTTTCCAGTAGGAGCTGCCGCCCCTACTATACCACCACCACCGCCCTGAGGTCCCGATTAAACACCTACTATGGAAGAATCCTTCTGCCGTCTTCTTGGGACTTTGGACACTCGATCCGCCATCTTCAGATTATGAATGGCACTGAGCACTTTGTGATTAGATTTTAATATGTAGCATATGTTTTAAATTTTTATGTATATATTGTTTTACCATGGCAAGTTGTTCTTGCCCCTGTAAGCCGCCCTGAGCCCACTGGGGAGGGCGGGGTATAAGTACGAAAAATAAATAAATAAATAATGGGACAGAAACACACTTCTTACACACATTCCATCTGTAGCCATCGGGTTGTATAGGGAAGCAATCACTGGGGTCATTCATTTGATGCCTGGCTCTGGATTTCCCACCACACAGGCATCATGAGCCCCAGGGCCAGGCACCCCCTTTCCCCTCAGTTCTATTGTTGCACTGTGAGAAGAGGACATTTTCCAGCGAGCTCTGCTTTTCTTTGTGCTTTTCGCCTAGCAGTAAGCCCTGGATAGTGTCTGATCCGGAGAGCTGGCCATCAGGGAGGGGAAAGGGCCCTTTCCAGGCCTATTTCGGACTTTCAGGGAGGGATCCTTCGTTTTGGGTTATTGACTCTATTCTCCACACTGGAACACAATGATTTTGGGCTGTGGTGAGGCATATTAACTGGGGTTGTTTTTCTTCTTCTTTGACTGGGACATGATGGTGTTTGGGGGCTTTATTTCTGGCCCTCGGGAGTAAGAAGAAATACCTCGGTGGATTATAAGATTGTTTCAGACATAAAGCTTGGTGCTCGTTTTGCTTTGGAAAAGAAGAGAAGACTCAAAGGGTTGTACGCTGTCAGTGAGAGATTTGGGGCTATCAGTTTTTTATTTGGGCTGCAAGTGACAACAGCGGCTAACTGAAGAGAGACAAGGAAACATCTGTTGTGTGAGAGAAAATGTCTTTGGTGTGATAGGCAGTAACAATGAAATTGGACAGCAAGACTTTGTTTAAGCATAAACTGTTCTTTTAGTAATATCAACAATTGATAAGCTGGGAGTCAGGTTGTGTATTTATATGAGGTGTGTATAAAAATGCTCTTTGCCAGGACAGGGCATTCTGTATGACTACAGGCACCCCTTTTAGACTACATTTGGGTCTACAAGTAGTATGTATATTGTTTAAAACAACAGCTTGTATGTTTGTGTTTCTCTCTCACTTTAACTCATCTTTTATTGAGAACAGGAATCATAGAATCATAGAGTGGGAGGGGTCCATATAGGTCACCTAGTCCAGCCCCCTGCCCAATGCAGAATCAGCCTGGAGCATCCCTGACCAGTGTTTGTCCAGCCGCGGCTCAAAAGAGTGCCAGTGAGGGGGAGCTCCCCACCTCCCCAGGCAGCTGATTCCACTGTTGCAGGAATGGCAGCTAATTAATAATTTGTGAGAAATCCTGCCATTTGGAAACCCCCCCCCCAAGTCTATTTGCGTGTAGTACATACATCCTTGTGACAGAAAGTGATTTTCAAAATTAATTTTGTCTTTCAGGCTTATATTTGGCACTCTCTACCCTGCGTATTACTCTTACAAAGCTGTAAAATCGAAGGATATTAAAGAATATGTAAGTAGCTGTTCTGGGATTATCCTGTGTCCTCTGCCATTGGATCCCTAAAATAAATTTGAGTTTCTGTTTGCTAAGGCCTTGTAATGCACATTCCTTGTTCTTTTAAGAACGTACATACTTCGGAGTGGCAGCTGTGATTTCTCTACATTTTGACTTTGTGTCAAATAATGTGTATATTAGCTTCCATTGTAGTGGTTTGATGAAGTAGCACCTGTCAAAAGAACAGAGCTTTTTTTATATTTGCCTGGAGATTGACAAAAATATGAAAAGGCACCACATCCAAAGCACACGGAAACCACGACACAGACACAAACTCACACACTGGGGAGAAAAGTGGGGTATAAGTGAAATAAATAAATACGTGCATATATAAATACCGTTTCAGTTTAGTTCATTGTGATTAGCCGTTGGCCGTTACAAAATTACAAAATACAAATTGTGAACAAGCTATAGGTTGATATCAGAATATATAAAAGTGCCAGAAATCAATGGCAAAATATGACTCATTTAATACAGTAGCCTGAATAATGCCCCTTCCCGATGCCACATTGGAACGTATATTCTTTGCAGCAAGGGCAAGTAATGAAACTTTATAAGAGACATATGCATCAGTGTCAGATAACAAAAATGAAATACCAGCCTGAGCTCCTTGGAGGAGGGCAAGATCTTTTAAAAATGATAGCTGTATACATGAGTGTGAGAGCAAAAATGTTGTGAGGGGGACGGGCATACTTTGTCAGGTCTTGAAGGAACTCACTCCCAACGACACTCTCTTGGCCCCAGTTCTCCAATGATACATAATTCAAACAATCCCCCCCCACCGTGACCAGATCAAGCAAACGCACACAACACGTGACCAGATCAATCACACGCATACATCCAGCCTGCCAAAATCTACTGTACACCATCAGCCCTCCTACAACACCTGCAAATCTACAGTTACATCATCTAGCTGCGTCTGATACCAGTGTCTGGTACTCAAGGTCAAGCACGCATACTTCCCACCAAGGGGAAGACCTGCATGGACGCAGTTACAAGTCAGCGCAACTTGTAGCAAAGCAATTCCACACACGCACTCATACACTCCACCCCCCCCCCCCCAATTTCCGGCCAAAGTGAAATAAGGTAGTGAGCTTACAGATACCAAAGACAGGCAATTAAGAAACATATGGCAAATGAGGCCCAAGCTTGACATTCTGCCCCCCCCAAAGGTCCTTCACCCCCCAAGTTTGTGAGGGTGAGCTTTATGGAATGCTTGAACTAATCTCGGGACTTTGACATGATGACTTCAGACCCATTCATTGTGACTAGGGTCGAAGTCTTGCCAGTTGATGAGATAGTAGAGGTGGCCCCATTTTACCTTAGAGTCTAAAACCTCTTCCACCACTTAGTGGAGTTCCCCATTCACCATCAGGGGAGGTGGAGCTGGAAGTTGAGGTCTCCATCTGGAGGGTCCAGGATCCTTCTTCTGTAGACTGAAATGGAAAACTGGATGGATGTGTCGTAAATCCTTTGGCAAGTCCAATTCCACAGCCACTTTGTTGATAACTCTCACCACCTTAAAAAGCCCAACATATTTCCATCCCAGTTTTTCCCCAGGCTGTAACCCCCTCAAGTTTTTACTGGAAATGGACACCAAGTCCCCAGGGTTAATATCTCACTTGGGTGTCCTGGTTTTATCTGTTTGGGCTTTATAATCCCCTTTTGCCTTGGCCAAAGTCTGTTGAATAAAAGTCCACTGTTGGGCCAACTCTAACCACCAGGCCTGTAAGTCCCCGGGCCTAGTGGGTTCCGTCCCAATGGTAGGGAGGGGGCCCCCTCATACCCATGTACCACCCATGGTACTATGAACGGAGTTGATGTAGCTATATTCCGCATAGGAAAGCAAGTCTAGCATGACTCTCATCAAAGCAGTTCCACACACGCACTCACACACACCCCAATTCCCAGCCAGAGTGAAACAAGGCAGTGAGCTTACAGATACCAAAGACAGGCAGTTAAGAAACATATGGCAAATGAGGCCCAAGTTTGACATACTTGCCCAAAGGAAAGGAACACATTGTCATTTAGAAATAGGATAAATTCTGTGAAAGACAGGCAGTGTGATTGCGCACAGAAGTATAATTAAATATTCATGTTTGATACCTTTGCAAATTGGAAACCATTCTGTTTCTCCATATTATCCCCTAACAGTTACTGCTTGTCCAGAATACAGGTTGTGTATCAAAAAAATCAGATATTGTGGCACACCCATGTTTTAAAAAAACAGCTATAGTTTTCATGATCCACACAGTCAAAAGCTTTGCTGTAATCTAGCTGATTTTACAATATGATTTTACGTGCCTCTTCCATTACTGAATCCAGCCTGAAAATCTGGCATTTCTCATTCCATATACGGTAACAGTCTTTGTTGTAAGGTTTTGAGCATCGCTTTACTCTCAAGAGAAATTAATGTCATTGTCCAATAGTTGCTGTAATTTTTGGTGTCTCCTTTTTCAGAATTGGAATGTAGAGTGAGCAGTCTGTGGGCCATTGTTTTGTTTTCCATATTTGTTAATAGTCAAGGACTTTTAATTATGCATGTGTAAAAGGGTTATTGGTATAGTTATTTTGTGAGGGTGCTGAAAAAGAGGGGAAGTTAAATAAACAGAGTATTTTGTACTTTTTCTGTCCATGGCAAGGACTGCTTCCTTTAAAAAGTGACATGACCATGGGGGGAAGTAACCATCTAAGGATGGCCGTGATCATTGCCTCCTCTGTCTTAAGAGAGGGCCATGACATTGATGACTGTAGCCATTAATTTACAAGGCAGACTGAGCACAAACAGCCATCTGTCCTCTGTCTACTCCTGTAGGAGCAAGTGCTTTCAATGACAAGGTTGACACCATCACGGGTCATTTCGTAGAAAAAGAGCTGCAGGAGCTCATTAGCATAAGGTATGCTAATGAGCTACTTGGCTATTAGCATAATGGCTTATTAGCATATGCCACGCCCCCTGACATCACCGGAAGTGATGTCAGAAGGGGGAGCAAAAGGGGGGAAGGCATCTTCAAAAGCCTCCCCTTTCCTCCCCCAGCCGGCCTGCGGGGGGGGGGGAGTGAAGAGAGAAGACTAGAGTTGAGCCGCAGAAGGAGGAAAGAGGGAAGGAAAGAGAGAGAGAGAGTAGAGAGAAGGAGGAAAGGGAAGGAAAGAGAAAGAAAAAAGGAAGGAAGGAAGGAAAGAAAGGGGATAAAAAGAGGGAAGGAAAGAGAAGAAAAGAAGAAGGGAAAGAAAGAAAGAGAAGGGAAGAAAGGAGGGAAAGACGAAAAGGAGAGAACGAAAGGAGGGAGAGAAGGGGAAAAGGAGATAAAGGAAAGAAGGAAAAGAAAGAGCAGGAAAGAGGGAAAGAAAGAAAGCGAAGGAAAGAAGGAGGAAAAGAAAGGAAGGAAGAAAAGGGAAAGAAAGAAAGAGAAGAAAGGAAGGAAAGAAAGAGGGCAAAGAGATGGGGAGAGGGAGGGAGGCTCTCCCACCTCCCCATCAAGCCCCCACCACCCCCACGGATCCCTCACTTATCGCGATCAAAGCCTTTCCCAGGCCGCAGTGCTCTGGCGTGGGCCCTGGGAGACCGGCGATGGGCCTCCTCAGGCCTCCCCCGGGCTGCAGCACTCCAGTGTGGGCCCTGGGAGGCCAGCAAAGGGCTTCTTTAGGCCTCCCCCGGGCCGCAGCACTCCAGCGTGGGCCCCGGGAGGCCAATGACGGGCCTCCTCAGGCCTCCCCCGGACCGCAGCGCTTTGGCGCGGGGAGCTGGGGGCGGGGCTTGCCGCCACCGCCATTTGTGCCAGCTCCTGGTCCGGCCCCAAGTGACCCCTGGACACCATCACCACCTCGATATTGTCCAAATCTATGGTATTGAAAACAGCTTTGGGACCAACATTGATGCTGGCTACCATGTCAACGTCCTGACCTGGATAGCCCAGGCTAGCCTGATCTCGTCAGATCTTGGAAGACAAGCAGGGAGAAACAAGGATGGACAAGAAAAAGAAACAAAAGAGCACTGCTGCCACCTTCTACTGCTCAGTCTTTGGTCCCTACGCTAGACCTTTCCTTTCCTTTAATCTTATTAAAGCTCCTTGACGAAACCCATCTGTTAAGTAGCATTGTCTGGACACAACACTGAACCAATGGGAAAATCTTGCAACAGCAAGGGCAAGGTTAGTGAATCTGTCCGATAAAAGGAGTAAAACTGGCTTGTGACCTTATGACTAAAGGACCTCTGCAGTCCTTGCTCAAACCCGAGTTGATCTTGGAAACCATCAGAGACAAGCTACCCCTCTGTCAAATACCCTCACAACTACTTCTTGTCATGGGATCAGTTGGAGGATTCTGCACAAGACTTTCAGGCAGCTCCTCAGGGGCCAGCCATCTAGAGCCTCTTGGAAAGGCTCTCAGTAGTGTGACTGGCATCCTCACGAGCTCAGCCTCATGGCCACCTGCACCTTCAATCTGCACCCACAGACAGCACATAGAGGCATGCTGTTCTTGTTACTCTGCATCCGGCTACTCTTCTTGGCAGCCCTTGTGTGGATCCCGGTGTCATTTCTTTCCACGGCAATACTGACATCCCTCTCCAGACCATCAATCCTGAGATGAAAGTTTGAGTCCAACAAAGTTTTATTCTAGGTAGACGTTTTTGTGCAGCACATACACTCCTTTAAGAAGGTATCTCAGGTATCTGAAGAAGTGTGCATGCCCACGAAAGCTTATGCCCAGAGTAAAACTTGGTTGGTCTTAAAGGTGCCTGACTGGACTGAAACTTTGTTCTGCTGCTTCAGACCAACATGGCCACCCTCCTGAATCTACAATCCTGAGATTGCCACTTTCCACACTGGTAGTCTCCCCGCTGATCCCACTGCCACTCTAGGGATCATTATGCAACATCTGCCTTCCAAGCTGATCACTCCCCTAGACCTGCACCACCACAGATGAAATTATCAAGTCCGCTTGAGCCACAGATTGCT